TTAATAAGAATATTGACTTGCTGGTATCGGAACTATTTATTTCACGTTTATTTGAAAAGAGTTCGTCAACGGCTCAGCGCCAGTGAGTTATTCGCAATCGTACATATGCTGCGAATGGTTCATTATACTAAAGCCAGCTTTACGACATAAGCTACTTTTCCATGCGAACACAGATTTGTATAGGTATTTCCTACTAGGCTTGCGAAATTTCCAATATCCAAATACCTGATGAGTTATTTTCGGTAAACGTTTGGGTACGCTCACTTCTGGCATTACTGCAACAACTGCTTTGCCACACATACAATCTCACTATTCTACTGACTTCGTTTTCCCCTTCCGATAACGCGTAGCCCTCTGTGCACAGCTTTGCACGCGCAGTCGCCCGCGACACAAATGTATGTGCGGATCTGGGCATCTATACTCTAATCCATACAGTTTGTTTAAGTTAGAAGACAATAATGAGACAATAGTTATGCAAATACCGCAAAGCGAGTGAGTGAGAAGGGAGAGTATTTGTATTTTATTTCGCTCTTATCCCTTAAAAAATAATAGTTGACAGCATTTAATTCGTGTAACAAAAGTAAAAACATGTAATTTTCAAAGCTTGAGTTTGAGTTTGCGCTTTTTTCTTCATTTTTCCCAAAAAGAGCTGCGCATGAAGACAAACTATGGACAAGTAAATTTATTTGATTTTCTTATAATAAATTGTTGTATCTACAGTCAGTGCCAAATGTAACTGTACACCATGTTCTAATATAATATTAACACTTATTTTCAAGAAATAATTTTTTCATTAAATATTTATGAAAATATAGATTATTCTATAACAACAACCATATAAATCAAAGCTTCACACTTTATATAAAGTTCACAAAAATTCAAACAATTTTCTTCAAAATTTCAAAATTTTTATTCAGAATTTCTGGAAAAATTTCGAGTATGCAGTTTTGTAGCCCGTTCAATTTTAGTAAAACAAAGTGCCAGTTTCAAGTCGCTAAAAATCGCTGTTGTTTTTTTTGATTTGTTTTTTTTTTTGTGGAGGGGTCATTTTCAAAAATTTCATGCATTTCTATGCCATGCCATTCCATCTCAAACATATTGTTATAGCATGTCATTGCTTCTTGGTGACAGGTAATAAGATCAACGGAAATAAGGTCAATTGACTTTATTTCCCACCCTGGTACGAAATAAAGTCAATTGACATTATTACCTTTTTAAAAACGAAATAAAATCAATTGACATTATTTCTCTTTCAAACATTAAATTTGCTTAGCTTCGCGGCGGGCCGCGTCAGCGCGCCACACCGCGCGCGTCGTGCTCGCGCTCGCGCCCCGCGTACCCCGCGCGACCGGCGCGCACACCGCGTCACGCTACGCCGCGGGCCCCCGGCCCCCCCTCCCCGTCTCCCGACGTGCTGTAGCGCAGGTAGATTAATTTTTTGTATACGTTGAAATAAAATTTGTATATATTTTAAACATCGAGGTCTTATATTCAATAATACCCCCTATCTGCACACTTTTCACAAAGATGAGATTCTGATATAAAAATCCACCTAAGCTTTAACTGTCATCAGTGATATTAATGCTACCTTATATAACGACAGGTAATAAGTCCCAGA